GGTATAGAAATTGGAAACCTGTATAAGATCGATTTACGAGTTACAGTGACGAGCACTGCATGCACCGCGAATAAAGCAGATATGTTGCAATTGTGGCATGAGCGACTCAATCATCAAAATAAGCGTCATGTAAAAGCGTTTCTCAAAGATAGAGGAATTGATGTAAATGTGACCAACGACTTCTGTGATGGCTGCGTTTAGACTCCGCCTAGCCTGTTCGTACGTCTTAATTACTACGCTTTACGCAGTGGGTGACCGCAAGAGGAAGGGTAGTGGCAGGTAATATTATGGACGCTAGGTTCGAAGTTATTGTGACATTTTATTTGGGTTTCTTACAGCTTGGGTGTCGACCACACCTGAACTTCGTTTGGGTTGCCGCGTCCCGAAACGTCTTCTGTACTGTTTGCGTCTCTGCGTCGGCGAGGTACGCTCGGCGAGGTGTGCTCCCGTGGTCGGAGTCGTCGCTCACGACTAAGCACACCCTCGGTGTCCGGGGTCGCTCCGGCTGATCTCGCCGCGGGTCCGGTTCCGGTGCGCCTGGTCGGCAATCCGTGGGTGCATCCGCCCTGGGACGCTTGGCCTGGAGGTGTACGGGCAGCGGCTGCGTCCGTTTCCGCAAGGGGACCAGTTCCTCTTGGAGGGGAGGACGCGGAGGCCGGTCTCCCTTGTGGTCCCTGCTCCGGGACTTGCTTCCCTTGTGGGGACGGGGCTCCCGGTTCTCCTTGCTTGCCCGGCTCCTGGATTTCACCGCCTTGCGAATGTCGGTGGTGTCCGCGGGAGTCCCCGAGGAGTCGGCAGGCGTTGCGGCGTCCGGCGCCGGGGCCTTGTTGGGAGACCCCGTGGTGTCTGGCGTCAGGCGCCTGAGGGAGGCGACTAGCGCCCGGTGCAGCGGCTGGCGCTGGAAGGAGCGGCTGGCGCTCCGGTGAAGTGGTTGACGCTTGCCGGAAGGCGACTGGCGCTCAGGAGGAGTAGCGGGTGCCCTGGCGAAACGGCTGGCGCTTCCCGGAGGGCGACTGGCGCCCGTAGGAGCGACTAGCGCTCGACGGAAGGCGGTTGACGCCTGATGAAGCGACTGGCGCTTCCCGGTGGGCGACTGGCGCCGTAGGAGCGGCTAGCGCTCGAAGGATGGCGGTGGACGCCTGGTGAAGCGGCTGGCGCTCGGAGGTCTTCTTCGCTGGCGACTGGCGCTTCTTGCGTTGGGCGTCTTGCGCTCTCGTAGGATGTCCTTGGGCGATTGGCGCTCGGAGGCTCCTCCTTCGGCGACTCGCGCCGGAAAATCTGATTAAAAATTCGCTGCGGGGGTCCTGCTTTTATCCTAGAGTTGACCAAATCTTGATCGCAGGTTCGTCGCCCACGCGCCTCGCCACCTATCGGTAGCGCCGCGAACTACCGTATTCCGCGGCGTGCAGGCGCGTGCCTTACGGCGCGGCGCCCTGTGGCTGCCGTAGGCCGCCACATTACCCCCTTCGTTGATTTTTGTTCGGTATTTGGAAACGCACTGTCTTGTGTGATATCCTTCCGCTTCTTGTCCTTATTTCTGTTGGAACGGCGGGTTGTGTAAGTA